ATCATCCTGTCATACTGTCAGAATCAGGTCACAGATAAGTAACTTTTCTGCAGAAAAGGTTCAATCTTCGTTGTTGTTTTCGTGCTGTTTTAAGAAAATATTGCATTCACATCCACAGAGAACATAAAGATGGTCTGACTTGTTTCTTTCTAAAGATTAAGCTCTTCATATTTGTGGGCTAAGATGACCAGCAAGATGATGGCAGGCAAGGAATGCTATGAGCTATACTGTGGAAAGCTAGAAGAAAGGATCAGGGAAATAGGAAGTAGAGCAGCTGTCTGAGCCACAGCTACTAATATTTTGATGATGTAACTAGTTTTGAATTCTGTTTAATCCTCATAGTGATGCCATGCTGCTTCAGAAGGGTACCAGTGCCTGCTCACTAACATTTTTACATTTCAACCCATCACTTGGGATTGGCAGTATAGATCTGCACAGTGATAGATCCTCTAGGAAGGACTTTGCAATGGTATCTAGGCCTCCACACTCTAAGGCCTCTAAGAGATCCTTGCGAGGGTCACTGAGTTCATACATATCCATTGGTCAGAGATTTATTCATTGTATCATGCTGCATTTTCAGGAATGTTGGCAACTAGCTACCTAGAAACCATGAAAATTACAGGGTCAGATAAGTTGTGCTGATCAGACATCCAATCAGTTGATTAGCTCAAATTAATGTGGAGTTTGATATCTTAATTTTCAGCCACCTGCTCCCAGGAAGATTTCAGCCCTTCTCAGTGTTCCATCGCAGCTAGTATCCTTGAATTCTGCATAAACACCCTCCTCTCAAGAATTAAGTTTCGTGCTACTTGTTATATGTACAGAGGAACAGAAACTGGGTGAACACTGCAGTAGCACTAAACGCTCCTGTGCACATTGAATAGAAAGTGTTCACCCAAGTTTTCATTCCCTGCATGTGACCAATTAGAAGAAACATAGCACTGTATTTACAGTTTGCCTCAATGCCGTTTTGCCAAATGTTTGCATTCAGAAACAAACTCCATTTTAGATATATTTGAACTCTCCCTGTCCTGACCTGTCTTCCCAGTAGAGGCCACACACGATTTCTGCAGATAAATTTTCAAAGTTACAGCAGAGAAGTAAAATCACGTGAAGACGCTTGAGAAAGTGACAGAAGGTTGACAGTCTTTGCCCCCTACTTAAACCACTTGAAATTAAGCGTAATCAACCCAAACTCTGTGTGTTCCAATAAATTGCCAACAATAGAATGGTCACAAACTCCCACAGATACAATTTGGAATGCTATTCCGTCTCTAATGCTATGGTCCTATACCAAAAAGAGATCATATATGAGATTCACGTTCAGTTCTTATGTATACATATTTATAAAATGATTACACTGAAAGAAATGAAGATGTTGCAGGTGTGTATACAGATGCCATATACCAACTCTAGGTAGCATTGCTCATTATGGTAGAGGGGAAAAAACAACCACCACCATGTATATTAAACATCTGCCAAGTATTTAACCTATTTCATAGAGGAAGCAAAAACAATTCACGAGTCATTAGAGATAAATGCTCTCAAGTGCAAGCTGCTAGGAGAAATATAAGGTAGAGATACTCTTGGAAGTGCATAGTTAGCTGGTACCTACATGGTCTGGGCTGTTTCATTAGATCAGTTGTGAAGACACCATGGCACAGACTCCTGCCAAGTTTGGTATTGCCCTTCTGCAGCAAGTCACGAGTGAGAAAGGAGGGAAGTTCTGTTGCACTGAATTCACTCAAGGTCAGAGAACTCAACTGCCAAACCCTGATGAGCCTCTGCTGATAACGTGTGAACTGCAGAGGAGCTCTGCAAGATTAGAGCACATCTCTTGTATGGCACTTGTCTCAGCATTCAGTGCTGTGTTGATGCTGTCAGGAGGGAGAGGCTGAATGTCTTCAGAGTCTTACCAGGGGCAAAAGCAAACATTTCCCTCTTACTTCACTCTTCAAAAATGGCAAAACCCTTCACACTGAAACTTCCCAACAGGATAGAAAGAGGGGCTGAGACTGAGCTTGGCAACACCAGCCATAGTAGCTGAAGGCTGCAATTTCCCTAAAGCAGAGTCCACGTGCAGGCATGATGACTTCAATATTCTGCTTGCCCTGCCTGGTGCAGAGACCTAACAGATAATTAAAACATCTCACAAGAAAGTAAATATACTGCAAAAGATGTTTTGCATACATACAGATGCAAGTAAAAATAATTCAGGAGGTAATGCTTCTTTGAACAGATTCCACTAATAACATTCTTTATTTTTAATGACTCAACACACAAGTTCAAGGCACAACGTAGATGCCCGAGTTACAAACACATATGTACTCAAAACACAGAAAGACCACTGGTTGTATGCCCTCAGCAGACCCTTGGGAATATACGCACACTTCTGAAAACAGAGGATTCATTCCTGTTTGATCAGGGCAAAAACCCTTCTGTCAGCGGCGAGATCTCTGCTTGCACTGACTGCTCAGACAAGCACGTGTCAATATAATGTAAACAACACATGGTCAGCTCCACAGGGGCATTCTGACTCTCTCCTGCTTGCTCTTGATCAGAAACATGAGAGCGCTCCTACAACACACTGTGTTCAGCTGTGCCACGTGCAGTAAGGTTTATGCAGTCTCCGCAACAAATATTCCCTAATTGACATGTAACCCTATAATCACTTTGAATGACATTCTAATGCAGTATTCTTGATTTTTTAAATGTTAATGTTGCTTGGCTCCAAGTACTGGCTTCTCCAATAAATAATGAACACATACAAAGAAGCCCACATTTATGACCGGTGAGTTTTTTGGCCGGTGAGTCTCACCTCTGTGCCTGGGAAGATCATGGAACAGATCATCCTGGATGACATGCTTATCACATGAGGAAAGGGTGTGTGATCCATGACAGCCAGCACGGCTTCACCAGAGGAAGGTCATGCTTGACCAATCTGGTGGCCTTTTAGGATGGAGTGACGGCATCGGTAGACAAGGGAAAGGCGACGGATGTCATTTACCTGGACTTGAGCAAGGCCTTTGACATGGTTCCCCACCACATCCTTATCTCCAAACTGGAGGGATGTGGATTTGATGGGTGGACCGCTCGATGGATAAGAAACTGGTTGAAAGGCCGCAGACAGAGAGTGGTCATCAATGGCTCTATGACCAGGTGGAGGCCGGTAACGAGCAGCATCCCCCAGGGGTCTGTCTTGGGACCGGTGCTCTTTAACATCTTTATCAATGACATCGATGACGGAATCGAGTGCACCCTCAGCAAGTTTGCTGATGACACCAAGCTGAGTGGTGTGGTCGACACGGTTGAAGGACGGGATGCCATTCAGAGGGACCTCGAGAGGCTAGAAAGGTGGGCCTGGGTGAACCTGATGAGGTTCAACACGGCAAAGTGCAGAGTTTTGCACTTGGGCCGGAGGAATCCCAGGCATCCCTACAGACTGAAAGGAGTGGTCCTTGAGAGCAGCCCTGTGGAGAAGGACCTGGGGTCTTGATAGATGAAAAACTTAACATG